TTTATGTGCTCTAGATCCTTATTTGAACTTGCTGTCCCCTTTGTTATACGAGAATTGTACACAGTAGAATGAAAAAAAAGTAACATGACAAGGTCACTCACTAGTCCTATAACTTGTCAACATACAAATATTTGCTGATAAATTCAAAGAAAAGGCAGTTTGACCTTTAACATGAAACTATGATTGAGACAAAGTCATAAACAAAAACCATGTTGTACCATCTATTATGTTTATCATCAGTATCTATGAAAATCTATTAACTACAATACTTTAGTCCTTAAGCCATTTAGAATTTAGTCATCTGTATTATTTATTTTATTTTATTATTATAATATCTTTTTGTCTTATCATATTTAGATATTGAAAATAATAAATCTAAAGTGATGCTTATAAGCTACATATGCCCAAAGTAAAGGCAAGCAAACCTCAGAAACAGAAAATGCCTTTTGAGGGGTGGGATATGGGATAAAAAGATACTATTTATACCCTTTTAGGGGAGGATATATATATATTTTAATATTTTTCTTCTTATATCTTCTTGCTTTAATGTAGTCTATGTTTATATTTTTTCTTTGTGATTTTATAAAAAATAAACAGCTAGTGTGTTTTCTATCTTCCAGTTTAATTGCTCCTACAGGCTTTGCCACAAAAAAAAAATAATCTTAAGAAGAAAAACTTCAGTCTTGTTCTAATTTCTTTTTATTTTCCCTCCGTGTAAATACAAGGCACAACCCAACAAATAGTACAAAATGATTTCTCTTTTTTCTGAACTTCATTATGGTATATTCAATAAATGGTATCTATAATGTTCCATTGTTATTTCCATAATATATTTTGTTAATCAAAGATTTTACTGGTTATATTTTGCAACTGAACCTTTAATTATTTTGCTTGCAAAACTCCAACCCAGCTTTTCCATTTGAAAATGGTAATCATCACTAAGAATAAGTACTTCTGCTAGGCTGCTTGGAGATGGGTGCAGCATGTTTGACAGCCTGTATGTCTCAGTTTTTGTAACTTTCCACACTTTTTAAAAATCACCTCTTTTCCTGGAATAAGAAACAAATGTCAGAAAACTAATCTGTTGTTCAGGTTCTGCTCTTTGATCAACAGCAATACTCTGGTAAAAAACTTTATAAGTTTATATGAATATGATGATACTTTGTTATTTTAAGCATGAGCAATTTGTGTAACAGAACATAACTTATCCAATCATGCAATTAACTTTTTACTGACTGCCTTGCTCTGTGGATACAAAGGCAGGGACCCTGTCCTTAAGGAGCTCAAAGTGTAGCAGAGATCTCAAAAATGCACATAAACAATTATAAAACAACTAAATAAGTGTTATTAATAATAGGAAAATGAGCCCGTTCTAGAGTGACTATGCTTTTCTTTTGGGTATTAAGTGTCAGATAAAATTGAATGAAGATGGTAACATTTCAGTATTCATATGAAGACAGACAAGGAGTTGGCTACATGAAAAGATTGTAAAAAGGCATCTAGTCACAAAAAACAGAATATACATGAGATTTACTGTACATCGACTGACTCTTAAGCTTGCATGGCTCCTCTTGTGCATGGACTCCTTACAAAGCTCCATAGCTAAGGTTACATTTCTGACTTTGTATTTTTTAAAAGTGTCCCTTCCCAAATTGTACAAGCTTCACTTTTCATAAAAGTTTGCTGCACCCCTGAGAATACGTATGGGGTGAAGGGAGAAAGGACATGTTCACATAACCACAGTCGCCTTTTGACTCCACCTTGGGGCAGCGGTGGGAGATGAGGCTGATCACTGACCTCCCTAACTGTTTTTTTTTTTTTTTTTATTTTGGCATATTATGGGGGTACAGATTTTAAGGTTTCAATAAATGCCCATTTCCCCCCCCCAAAAGTCTGAGTCTCCATCATGACCATCCCCCAGATGGTGCACATCTCACTCATTGCCTCGTCCCCAAATGTTGACATTGATTTCTACAGTTTTTAAGGTTCAATGTGGCCTGCCGAGGAAGCAGGATGGCAGGGTTCATAAAGCTAGAGGAAAAAGTAAGTTTAGGCCATTTCTAAACTTTTTTTTTTTTAGAGCTGAATATGAAACATCACATTTAGATACCACACCAATTGTATCCTCTCACAAACACTATCCATTCATTCACTTATTCTTCTTATACTTACTGAATGTTTGTTATATGTTCACTCTCCTTATTCTCTTATTGAACCCATGGTGTTTTATGCTTCTCTATTTTATTGATGTTTATGAGTATTTGCAGACGGTATAGGCTAGGAAAAAATTACATTTCATTCTTTAGGGAAAGTATGTCCTGCTTGACTTTGCTTCTGTTTATTGGATGACAATATTCATTTTTTCCCATATGGTACCATATCCTCCGTCTTAACCAAGTCTTATGATTACTTTAAGGTTAAACTCAAATGACTTCCTCAATGAAATTTCTTTAAATTTACCCCAAGAGGATTTTTATTTCCCATTTTAATTCTTTTAGCTCTTTAGTTATTAAGTGTTTGAGACTATTGTCCATGTGTCCATGGGGGTAATTGTCAAACTATTCCATATCTGCATATTTTGTCTTCCCTCCTCCCTTTAAAGGGTGGCACCATAGTCTGTCCTTTCTTCTCTCCTGTCTAGCACAATACCTAACTCTCTTTAAGTGATGATTAAGGAGTGGAAGGATTTACCTCCTAAACACTGAACAATACCTAGGACTACAGGAAGGCTGAAGTGGGAAAACTTCAGATAAATTTTCATTTTTTTCCTAAACAAGAACATCAGAGGGGGTGGCACAGTAGAACAACAGACCAGTTAAGTGACATGAAAGAGTTGTGAAGATCTGAACTAGATTTTATGGATATGCCTTAAATTTTGTGCCTCAATTTTGATATCTTTATTATAGTCTCTATCACAAGGCCAGTTAGCTTTAAGAATCCACCTGGAAAATTCTTTATAATATTTAGCTACTAAGTTGAATTTTTAGGACTTCTTCATTACTTTGATTTTTAAAAATCCTCTTGTCCACCTCCTTCACTCTACTCTCAATCACCAAATAGCCGGGTTAGTCCACAGTTGTAATCTATTGCTCCCCCTCTAAGAGAGTGAGATTGTCTATGATTCCAGTAAACTACATTCCTGAATTACTTATAGAAATAGTTTCAACTCAACAACAATGGTCAAGATGCCCAAATATTGAAATAAATATTTCTTGCTCCTATTTATTTTGGATTGGGAGAGGCATTAGTAAGATCCTTGTCCTTCAATGTCCTTATCCTCATACCAATTCTAGAGCTTTCAGTCCTTTGTCTTCTCTTGAAAGAAATTATTTTTAATGCCAAAACAACATAAAATTTGCCTTTAAATGATTCAGGGAAAATCCAGAGAAAGAGTTGTCTATTTATAGGAAATCAGAAGATATAGTGTTTAACAAATTATATTCATCCATAAATTATTTAAAGAATTTAATTTTTATCTATAATAAAGGCCATGTTTCACTGAAAATTCCTTCAGTTCTTGCTTTCCTTCTTTTAAAGGCATTCTTTCTCAGCCTCTGAATATACTGTTCATTGAAAGTCTGCTCACAGAAAACATGAGAGAAAGATTTTAAAAGATGAATACTTACAAATAGCTAGGTTGTGAGAAAGCAGGGTATTTATGAAGGAAAAATTGATAATCTGATAATCTGTTAATGTACTGCTTTGATACAACTTACAATCCTATTATATTCTACCACGTGTGAATCCATCACAGTCTTAGCCCAGTCTCAAGGTTGACTGTAGGACACCTGCTTTGAACTGATGTCACACAGGAGATCAGCTATTTCTCACTGTGGTTCCCCATGGGCACCTTGCAGGGAGCTTGTTTATTACTCCACTGCAGGGTGGTTTGGCTTATCATTACAAAATCAGCCTAAAATAGTGCCTAGATTCTTCTTTATGTCATCAAATACTAGAAATTTCCACACTTACAGGTGGGGTATCTGAAGAATGTAATCAATATCTAGATACAGGAATAGAAATTAAAATGGATTTCAGCTTAGATCATAACATAATGAGGTAACTTTCCTTCCAAGGTTTTGCAATTGAATTCAGTTATTATGAGTATGTGAAAAAGAAAGAAAAATGCGTCTGGGCTTTCATGTTAGTTTTTGTTCTTGAAAAACTGAAAATACTGATTTAGCATTTTCTTCCTTTTTTTTTTTTGTAAAAGAAAAAAGGCCTTCATAGTTGAAGTACTAGTGACCTTTTGCAGGAATTATGCAGGCAGCTCTGCGTGGCTGTTCTAATGGTCATGGTGTGGTACAATCAGTTTTACTAAAGAAGAGCCCTCTGGGCTGCAGGATAACTAGCTTAATAGCTTTTCAAGAGGACAAATCTGATATCAGGCTTTAAAATGCACTTTAGGTATTTAGTATTAAATGGACAGGTAGGAGGAACTCCAGTAGATGCACCGAGGTGGATGAAGACACATTGCAAATACAAGCTGCTACATCCTGCTGCACTCTCACCTGCACAGAGACTGCCCTGCTGTCCAGCCAGTTTGGGTTTATGACAACTGGAAATTTTTCTTTTCTCAATGCTTCTAAGTCCAAGATACTCTGTATAAATCTAGTTGCTTTAGAAATATATCTCCTTTCTCTTTGCTTTACATTTTCATTTTTTCTCACCTTTTGCCCACTTTCCTCAGTTAAAATATCCTTAAACATCACCACTAGACCAGGAAGGGATGACTCCATCTGGAGCCTGGAGAGCACGTTCCTATCAGCCATTATCTCCATCAGTAGGAACCAGGAAGTGATAGTCTAAATGGTGCACACGGAAATGTAGCTGTAACTGTGACTCTGGTATAAAAATATGTCTAAAGATATAACCAGTCTTGGTGTAAATGTTGACTTGTATATGTGACTTTGGTGGGAAACTTATATTGCTCTTATGGGCCCTGATCCTGAAGTCGAAATCACCAGGGTTCTGATGCCAGCTCTACTTCTCTCTTGCAGATCAATTTAACTTCTTCAAGACTCAGTGCCATCCTCTGGAACTAGGGACTCAAAATTATATCTACCTTTTGATATTATGATGACTAAATGAAATAGTAAGTAAAGTGGTTAACACAGAGCCTAGCACATGGTAAGTGCTCAATAAATTATTTTTTAATTGAATAAACCAAGGTGTTTTCCATTTCTTAATTATTTTATTAGGCAACTGCACTATCCTGTGTTGAACTTAATTTTCTGTCATTTAAAAAATATATTTTAAGAAAAGCATTGCTTCCATCAGTTGGTATGAACTGAGATTTATTAAAAGATAAAACAAAACTGCTTGGCTGATTTCTGGTGTGGTGGAGGTGAAGAAGGTGAAGTTACATGAGCCAGTGAATGGTTCCATAGTCAATTCGGAAGCAGCCTAGTGTTGGACTGGAGTATTCTAGAGGAAAAAGGCCAGATCAAAAACCACAAGCAATCTTTCTCATTGGAGGACAGAGTTTTTGGGAAAGTGTAAAAGGCAGTTGGGGAAAGAGAAAATCTCTATATCTAAAGATAGACATCAGGCACAGCCATGAGATATAAGTGCTATTTTACCTCCATAAACAGTAGGGAAGTATGATGATAATTATTCATTTATTCAGCAAATGTGTAGCAAGCATTACTAAACATGTAGCAAGTGCTACTCTTCACTTTGTTTCTGGCTCTATGCTAAGTGTGAGAGATACAAGAGCAAGATATGGTCCCTGTCCACAAGGAAGGTGAAGTATATAACTTTATTAATTATAGATTAATGTAGTTCTAAGCAAATTCATGATTTTGTTGGAAGGAGGGGAAGAAGTACTGAGATAACAATTCCATTATATCAGTAAGAATAACCAGTGAGAATTGTCAAAACTATTTTTAAAATGTAAATTATATGATTTTTGATTACCAGTTATCAAAGCATATTTTAGAGTTACAATGATTCAAACTGTTTTTTAGGGTTGTAAAAATAAAGACCAGTGGAAAAGAAGAGATAGTAGACAAGATTGTCAGAAAGGAATGGCCTTGATGTTTAAAGAGGCCAGCATTGTGACATTGTGTCTGTGAACAAGGGGTTCCAAAGCAACTATCTGGATGCAATTTTTAGAAAATAGGCCTCTGTATTAAGAAATCTAACTCACTGTGATGTCAATCAGTAAACACTTTTTAGAATTTAAGAGAAAGATTTTGAATACATAGAAGTGGGTGCAAATTTTTTCTTTAAATGTATCTATTGTAGCAACAATAACTTATGAAACATCTTACTTAAATTGTCACTCATCAAGTTAAAAAAGTTCCTCATAAATTTAATCAGAAAATTAGTTTTTCTCTTGACAAAAGACATTACTGTGTCCTTTACCAATTAAATATGATAAGTAATATTTTATGCTAAAAATAAAATGCTGGCACATTATAATATATAATATATAAAGAACAAGTTTATGAATGACCAGAGAGAATTATGTAGCATTATATACGGCCCTATAGCCACAGTTTGAGGACCAGAGCCAAGGAGAGACACTAAATTAAGAGGCTTAGGATACAAGTACACCTGCTTTAGGAGAGAGGTAGCCTCTCTACTCATAACAGCACAGTCATTAACTTGATGTCCCACCTGGGTCTCTGGACACCTTTGTTTAAAATTGCTTATCTCTTCCTTTTTGTTTGACCTCATAAACCCTTATTTAGAAATCATGATGGGTAATTTATAAGTGGTCTATCAGTTGACCAATATGTCACCTTTCCTCTAGAGAGTGTGAAAACATTCTTTTAAATCTTTTTAACCCTTTAAAACCAGACATGTTAAAATACAAAAAGTGAAAAATATTAAAAACTCATTTATGCATGGAGCGCCAATTCTCTGAAAAAAAATCAGTCCAAACACCCTTGCTTTTCCAAATAGAGAGCTACTCTCCTTTCGTCTCATTAAACCTGAAAACAGCTGCGAGAATGAAGAAGATTAAGTCTCCCCTCTAAGATTTATGCTGGTCTCCATGGCATAAGCCATGGCCAGTTGTTCTAGATAATCATGCCTTTTTATCCTGACTTCACACCCAATCTGGAGACTGAGCTATAGGGACTTCTCATCTAATATGATGTACAGTTCTGGATTTATGTCTGTCCTTTTTGAGAGTATCCAGAAAAGTGGGACTTACAAGTTGAAAAGAAAGGGGAGATAAAGTGGATGTCATAGCAGCTATAGAATTTACGCAGTGCAGCTTAGAACAATATATAGAAAAGTGAGAAAAATAATACCAAATCTTAAATTCCCGTGTAAGTGTGAAAGAGAGGCTAAACTTTGAGGGCTACCACAGAGGAAGCTAGAACTTTACAGTTTGGCCAGGATTACTAAGTGTCTCTCATTAACAGAGGCTCTGATTTAGAGGGATTTTCTATCTCTAATGTCTAAATTACTCTGGAATTATCACCGTAGAACTGAGGAGGCAGAAACACCTCTTCTCAAATTCACCTATTAACTCTAGCATGGTAGACCCCAGGATTTCTTGTCTCAGAACTGGCAATGTTCCAGAACTTGCTTCCTGATTTTCCTGGAAGGAGAGTTTGACAGTACCCTTAGGTCAGACTTTGAGATAAAAGGTACCTTTTAGCTCACATACTTACATTTAAAGCACAAGGACCCTTGATTAATTATGAGAGACTTATCAAGTCTTTCCCGTACAAACTCTCCATAGAATGGGTAGTTGTTACTAATTTGAAAATGTCAATGAGTAATTTGCTGTAATAAAAGTGAAAGAACAGGCGAAACTAGAAAAAGACAGATTATTACATCATAACTTGAGTATTTATGATGCTAATATTTAATTTCTAAAATTTTAAATTTAATATGCATTAAAATTAACTTTTTAGTATAAAGTACAGGGTTTTTATTCACAAAAATAAGTTTTTAATTTTTCTAGGTAAATATCTAGGAGTGGGATTGCTTAGTCATATGACTGAGCATACACTTAAATATATTCTGTCTGTTTTCCACAGTAGCTATACTTTTTTGCATGCCTACCAGTAATATATAAGGTTTATAGTAGCTTTATGTTCTTGCCAGCACTTGGTATTGTCTGATATCTTTAAGTTTGAACCACTCTCATGGTGCCTAGTGGTAACTTACCATGGTTTTAATTTGCATTTCCCTAATAGTTAATGCTGTTGAGAATTTTTTCACTTTCTTATTTACCACTTATCCATCTTCTTTAGTGAAGCATCTGTTCAAATATTTTGCCCATTTTATTGGATTATTTATTTTCTAATTTTGTTGAATTTTGAGGTCTCTTTAAAAAAATTCTGGATACAAGTTGTTAGATTGTTCATTTGCAAGTTTTCTGTCAGTCTACAGCTTTGCTTTTCATTCTCTTAACAGTGCCTTTCACAGAGCACAAGTCTGGGTGTGTTTTAAATTCCCCATCTTTGTTACCTCTCTCCTCTATTCTACACCTGAATGTAAATCTTAAAGAAGAACCCCAGAGACTTAGTGTAAGTGACTAGCTGAGTGAACAGCACAATATAAAGATAACCTCTAGGAATAGACACTCTTTGTTCTTAATTGCTGGAGAAGCAATAGTCTTCAATAGTCTCTTTGATTGGAAAATACCAGTGCAAGACAGTGACCAATATTATACAAAACTTAAGATCAATTTCTTTTGTTGTTGTTTTTGTTGTTGTTGTTGTTTAATCCTTCTGCCTCAGCCTCTCAAGTAACTAAAACTATAGGCATGTGTCACCACACCTGGCTAATTTTTCTATTTTTTGAAGAGATGGGGTCTCACTCGCACTCAGGCTGGTCTCAAACTCTTGAGATCAAGCAATCCTCCCTCCTTGGCCTCCCAGAGTGCTAGGATTACCAGTGTGAGTCACCGTACCCTGCTTTAAAGACAAAGTTTAAGAGCACCTTTTTCTTCCTCGAAATCTATTCTCAGGAGGCCAACACATTAATCTTGAAATTGCTGTCACTTACTGAGACTATTTCATAATGTAAAATTAATGTTTGTCAGCATCCTTTTAGGTTGCTCTGGAGATTAAATGTAGGAGAAAAGGGCATTTTGTCAGGTCTGCACAGGCAAGGCTAAGTGGGAGAATTGAAGCAATTATCTGAATAATTCAATAAAACTCCCTCTTTTATTCAATTATTCAAATAAATCTTTATTTTTCTTCCTTTGCTCTGCCCATGGAGATTTCTTTGTCATCTAATTTACTTTTGAAAAGTGACATGCCTTTATATATCTATAGAGGCTTAAAGCTTTTTAATATTTAAGGCTATCCGACCCCTACATTGATGAGTAGAGATTTTGAAACTTCGATCTTCACAGTGGTGTTGAAGATAACTGAAAAAGCATGATGTAATCTCATGTTTTCACACATTTAATTCTATTCCCCAGAGAAACTACTACTTGCTCCTAATTTCCAGCTGCCAACATCTGCAATTAGAAACTAGCAAAACAATTAGTCTAACAGCTGTAGAAACATAATTTACAACAAAATGTCAAATGTGTTTTTGAATGTTGAGTTAAAAAAAACACTCGTTTTTATTTGTTATCATCTAACCTTTCTCTCAATTAATTAATCATTCTCTTGAATAGTTTCCCAAAGAGATCACATTCTATTAGCATTCATTACATTTATTTTTAGTAGAGAGATAACAGGACTACAAAGAACATTCAACTGTAAACACAAGATTGAATTACAAAACCTGATATCTAGATGACCTCTGTGGTCCCCTGTAACTCTCAGACTTTGGGATAATAGTCAAAGGATGGTTTTCCCAAGTCTATTAAAAAAAAGTTCTCTCTTCTTGTGGCCCTCAATTCCATTTAGCAAAGTTACAAATGATTCTGTATTCCCCCTTATTGCAAGAATTGTTCAAAAAGCATTATCTAAACACAATTGAGAAACCTATTTGTCAAGGCAGTAGTCTTTCCTAAAATATTTTTGAAAGTGGTGTCATTTGATCATACAGATTATAGCAGGTGTATCATTTTGCCCACAAAATTTCAGATAAGGCAGAATCACAATATTTTTCTGTTAGTTGATTTGAGGAACACAAACTAGTGAAGAGATATGAGAGTCTTATGCTATGTATTTGCTAATACAGAAATTTTTCTCTCTTAAAAA